CCCTGAACCAGGGGCCATTAAATTCACTTATCATAACTATGTATTTAATTTTTTAAATAATACCCAGGAGAAGAGAGAAGAAGATTTTCAAAGAAATAATGCATTTTCACTATATGATCTATATAACCCCACCCTAGCACCAGAACCCCTGACCCTGGGGCTATGAATTTCACAATTTTAGTAGAGGGCTCAATGCTTATAAAAATCATGCCAACAGTTTGACTGCTTGATGTCCAGGAGTAAAGAAGAAGATTTTTAAAGATTGCATTATTTTTGGTGGTTTAAGCCCCACCCCTCAGGCCCCGGGGGGGGGGGGGGAGCAGGGACCATGAAATTCACAAATGTTGTTCCCCTTGGCTTCACACATAGATGCCATATGCTAAAATTTGCCGAAATTGGTTCAGCGGTTCAAGAGAAGAAGCTGAAAATGTTCAAATGTTAACACACGACGCACGACGGACGACGACGGACAAAAACAGATAGCAATAGGTCACCTGAGTGACTCAGGTGACCCAAAAAGGGAAAAGAATTCTTCCAAATCAAAATTTTATTTTTTGGATGTAAAGGTCCATAAACTTTTCGAGGGGTGGGCGGCTTTCATTGAAATTTTTTATCCTTAAAATTTAAATTAAAACTTGACATTCTTAAAAGGTGGGGAGAGGGGCAGGCCTCTAGCACCCCCCTCCCCCCGACCCCTCACCCAAGAATCTATGTGCCTTAATGTTATGTTCATATGAGTGAATGTCAGTAGCAAGTGAAATAACTTTCCAAAACTATTTTCATCAATTGGAATTTCCCTATCTATTTTTGGTCTAATGTAGAATAAATAATTCCTTATATTGACCTGGGAGATCACGTGCAGGTCAATATAACGTAGTATTTTTCTAACATTGTTGGATCTCAGCCAATCAGAGAGATGGGAATTATTCAATCATGTAATAAAAAGATTTCTTCGTAGATTTTTTTCTCAATAGGGAAATCAATTTTTTTTAAAAAATAATTTATAATTTTACACGTTGATTTTGATAATTTCATTAAATGATAACATATAGTGTTTTTGATGACAACAAAATGTCTAAAAAAAAAAAAAAAAAAAAAAAAAAAAAATGTTTGCCGATTCATTAACGGTAAGTTACTGCATATTATTTTTTTCAATATAATTTCTGCAGTCATGGATTTATAGCTACAGAACATTTGGAACTGAACATGGACGTTTATCGTGACAAATCTATCATGTCCTACTGAGTCATGCTTGCATGCTGTCGAACCCTGCATGTATCTCTTCAGGTTTTTATCGCATCATTAGATTTGTTTATCAAGTTGAATCTGTCCTTATCTGCGTTATTGTGTTAGAATGTGCACATGGGGAAATGATATGTTATTATTTCAATGCTTTGATGGAGTAAGTCCTGATTGATAACATACATAAAAGTTATGAATACAGGTTTTAAAATTTGCTTAATATAAAGTCTTAATGGCTGTTATAACGTTTCAATTTTTTTTTTAATTTCCCATCAGGTATTAATTTATTATTTTCTAAAAAGTTGTTACGTGAACTACTCCCCAACATGGGTGTGCGTAAGATATAAAAACAAAACGTACATAGTTTCCGGATATGAATTACAGTGCCTGAAATAATTTATAAATTGTAAAAACTTTAATGGAAGGTAAATTTTGTTTTGAAAACACTATGCAAATGACACAATGATTTTTTTCTGCACTTCATATTTATTGTGATACATATTATCACGTGACAAAGATCCAGGGTATCTGCATGTTAAGTTTGGACGCCCTTTTTGTCATCATTCAGACAATTATAATTAATAATTCTAGATATTTGTTACATGAGTCTACGAATCAAATAATTTGATGAACATATATTCCTTTCCTTTATCTCAGTTCGATTTTCATTTCCATGAATTTATTTTGACTAATGATAACTGAAAATGAAAGTATAAAAAGTGCAATGAAAAGTAAGGCAAGTGTAAAGTTTGCAATAAAAATTTATCATTTATTTTTTCTACTTTGATTTTTTTTCTTTGGACTCTTTCTTGTGGAAATGCTTTTAAATGCTAGTTTTACTATATTTTTGCGGCCGATTTGATGCTTTGCATCAATTTAACTTGTATACATTGTATCATGTTTTCCCCTTATAACGAGCATCTTATTTAACCACATTCTTAAAATTAAAATAATCGAGGTACCTATATTCCTTTATACTTAAAAATCGTTTATCAGATTATTTTGTTTATAAGGTTTTGTTTGTTTGGTTGTTTAATGTTCCTCTTGAGAATTTTTCACTCATATGGAGACGCCAGCACTTGCCGGTGGAGAGCTGCAATTTTTTTTTTTTACCTATGCTCGGTACTATAGGTCATTGAGCAGTGAGGTATCTTTTTCGTGCCAGCACCTACTGCGACACGGGACCTCCGGATATGTATTTATAAATACGTTTATAAATACGGTCTTATGTATTTATAAATACGTTTATAAATACGGTCTCATCCGAAGGTCCAGTCTCCACGTCACAAAGTGGGATTCGAACCCGCGACGTAAGGATCAACTCCTTACTCCGCGACTCTGGAGCAGACGCTCTAGCCACTGCGTCACGCGGGCTATTAGGTTTTGAGAAAAAGATATCGTTAAGAATCGCATATTCTATCGTAGAGTGCAAGAATCGTATCCTGCATGTAGCTATAGTCTGTCCTATCGTTTATAACATGTATAATATCAAAACATCGTTGCGGGTAAAGAATAGATCACCCCTCCACCCCCCGAATAAAATATTCTGCTTTTGATAGGAATTCTCGAGTTAGTATATTGACACGGCAGGCAATTCAAAGTCTACGGGAATTTAAGGGGGCCGACTGGGGTTTTCATTGCGCAAAACTTCGCGCAACATAGTAAAATAAAGCGTATTGACTCTTTTAAAGCAACTATTTTTACATAATTTATAAAAAAAAAAAAAATAGCAAAATTAGGAAATCTCAGGTTAAAGAATCTATTTACTTTTTTAAATAATTGATTTTTAAACAGATTTTTCAAATGATGGTAGAAAGACGTCGTTATAGTGTGTTTTTGACGTTATGAATAACCGAAGTTCTTTAAGAAGGGTCATTAATTATGTCATAAAATAAAAAGTATAAAAAAAGATGCTCTTGAAATTTTAAACATAGGAAATTGAGAATCTCACAATCATTTTTATAATTTTTTATATAAATCGGTGGTATCTGTCATGTTTTGTAGTACTCCATAAAAACAGGAAAATATCATGAATTTTGACATTTTGAGGTGCCCCCTCTGGAAACCAGACGGTAGAATTTTGTGTTTCTTGCATAAAATGTACGATATAGTATTACTCATCAAATAATATAATTTGAGCAAAAAGTCTATAGTAGCATTTGTATAATTTGCTCCGAGGTGCGAAAAAATAGTATATTCCAATATAATCCTATAGTAAATGTACATGTACCTGTATTTTGAGATGGTCCCTAAAAAATAATGGTAGATTTTCACTAAACTTGGCATGTATTCTGAAGTATGTGACGTGTCATGTAGTATATTCCAATATAATCCTATAGTAAATGTACATGTACCTGTATTTTGAGATGGTCCCTAAAAAATAATGGTAGATTTTCACTAAACTTGGCATGTATTCTGAAGTCAATTTAAGGTACATATGGTATGAAATTAAAGAGTTTCTCTATAGTAGTTTTCACAGAATAAAACCCCAGTCGGCTCCCTTAACATTACGAAAATGGCCGCCACTTCGGAAAGGGATCCATCATTATTCTTGATTTTCCGTAGGCTAGCTTGCCGTCATAAACGCATGGAAGTCGTACATATTGGAAATCGTTTAACATGTGGTAGAAGCGCTATTGTGGACATGCTGACTGTCGCCTTGAATATGTGAATAAGGACAAAAATGCAAATGTCAACATTTGTTTCACTGTGCATCATCATAAATTATTTATATTTTTATGCAGCAAACGTTTTTTATGACAAAACTAATCAGCAGACGTGGCGAAAAATGATAGTTCAAACTGCACAAAGCCTGATTTTTGACAAATGCGAATAATCTTCAATAATTCATCAAACCAGTAGTGTTTATGACAGTTATTTTGAAAACGTGATTTAAATTAATACTGATCATGTACGAATTTTGTTATAAATACTGCAGTTGCTGTACTGTACTTTTCATGGGCAGAGAAAACAACAAAGGTAAGAATATAAACATATGTTTAGGTTATTTTTTATGGATTGTTTATATTGTTACATTATGTTTCAGTACATACAAACATTTTAATCTTAAGCATCCTTGACGATTATTAGTAATCACATCTGATATACCATAATTATTTTGTTTGTTTCTTTGTTTGTTAAAGTTCCTTAAGTAGACACTGTAATAAGATCTTAAATTTTATAAAACAGAACCCATCAGAGCTCCACAAGTATAAAGTTCATGAATGGGACCCGAGCCTTTCTTGATTTAAAAAAAAAAAAATACATGGCCTTTTTAGAAGAGATACATGTACCTTCTAGATGATGAAACTCATTTTTTAATTACATGTAAAAAAAAAATATAATCATCAAACAAAAAAAAAAAAAAAAAAAAGAAGAAATATTTCAGTTAATTACCCACATTTGTCAGCTTTAGATGATGAAAAAAAAACCTCTTTTGGTTACTCAATACTGAAGATAAGGAAACTTTTAATTTTGTGGGCAAATTTATAAATGACAACACGTTATAGTCTTAATCATACACTCATGAATTGCATTCCTTTTAACTTAAACAGTACAAGAGTACTAGTATTGTTGAAATGAGCAATGCCATTTACTGCCGATTATAATACTATTCATTGGCATATCTTTTCCTTATTATTGTAATAATTTCATACTTGTCTGTTATGAGCTCTAAATTAATTAGAAATAAAATGATCTGTTCTGTGCCATTTGTCTGCTAAGTTATAGAATAATTCATTGAGGAACTGATCAGAAATATGACAGCAGTGAGTAATACTGCACAGTCACGTGGTTATAGAATAATTCATTGAGGAGCTGATAAGAAATATGAAAGCAGTGAGTAATACTGCACAGTCACGTGGTTCAAATATTGTCCAATGCAGTAATTAAGTAAATTCGCTACTAAAACAATCTTTTTTTTATTCAGATGCTGAGAATACTGCTATTGGTTGTCTTTGTTATCTTTATTGAACACTGTGAAGCTCGTGTCGCTCCTTTTAGCGGCGGTGGTGGTTCTGGGAGTGGAGGTGGTGGTTCTAGGGGTCGTGGCGGTCCTAGAGGTCGTGGTGGTCAAGATAATCGTGGTCGTGGTGAGTACATGTACTTATCAAACGCAATTCAGTTTTTATTGCTTATTTGAGGTACATATTGTGATTAAGATGACTAGATTTTACTATGTATAAAAAGAGGCTATTCTAATAATCTTGACTGGCTTTATAATGTTTCTAATAAATTTCTACATACATACATACATACATACATACATACATATAATTATGTAGTTTAAAAACTGTATCATTGATACTGGATTTGGATGTTTTGATAGAAAAAATGAGACTATCATAAGTGTGATTCAACATACAGCAAATGTTCAAATCTTAGTCCATCAACATGCAAGAAAAAATATAGCTAAAAACTTGACAAAAAGGACAATATTTGAATTAATTCATATTTCTTTTTTTTTAAATTGAATTTTAAGAAAAGTATTTTGCAATTCTCTCTCTCTCTCTCTCTCTCTCTCTCTCTCTCTCTCTCTCTCTATGTATCGTCGGTGGCCCTAAATTTGTTATGGTCCTAGAATCGTGCCCTTTTTATTTTCCTCGATTTCCTCGAGTATTTCTCAGGATTGTGTCCGCTGCTGCACCATACATCGTCAGAAAAATATTATTTGGATTGCTTTTTGTCATATTTTACAACTGCAGACGATAATAAGGTCAAAGCAGGTAAAATAATAGTCTTAAACATAATTTCACCTCCCTTGGATTAAATCTGCTATTATTGCATACGTTTGAAAAGAAAATCTTCAATATTTTTTCTTTCGACCTATCTCAAGTGTATTGGTGCTACCATACTCATTGTTAACATAATGTCAATAGAAGTCACATATTTGGTCTTTATAATGTCATTTCCGCTGAGGTCACGATCCCAGGACCTGTTTTTCAAAATTGCGCAGAAAAAACATCGGTACTTTGAACGAGATGTAAACAATAAAGGCATGATTTTTCTAAACTGTCACTTCAATGGAAAGAAAAAAATATTTAAAACAAGGTATGACTTACGAAATGAAACAGTATTTCATTTACTAGTTTATACAAAACAGACACGATCAAATTAGGATAACGACCCATGGAGCTCCGAGGATATATATATATATATATATATATATATATATATATATATATATATATATATATATATATATATATATGAATATTTAAAAAGAAAACATTTTTCTCATTTTTCAACAATTATTTTCTGCTTTTAACATTTTGGTGAAATATTCTAGGTGAAACACCTATTTTTCATTTCATTGATTTTGTATGAAGGATATACGGGAAGGCAACCTGTAGCTTTCACAGCAAGAATGTCTGAAAATGCCACCAACATTCAACCTGGAAACACGATACCCTACACAATGACTATCGTCAACGTGGATAATGCTTATCGAAATAATGTCTTCACTGCTCCGAAGTCTGGAGTCTATTTCTTCACTTGGAGTGTTACATCGCTTCCAAATTTCCCGGTTGACACAGCATTGGTGAAAAACAACGTTGCCATAGCCATACTCTCTTGTCATCAGTTTTCTAAAACCGGGAAAAGAAACACTTGTTCACAGTCTACCACTGTCAGTCTAGTCTCTGGCGATAAAGTATGGGTCAAAGCAACTGAAGCAATGGACATTGTAAGCGCAGCATACTGGCCTTCGTTTTCTGGATTTCGATTATGAGAATAAAAAAAAAAAACTAGGCAGATAACAAAAACCCCTAAATAATGTATTTTTCTGCCTCTTGTCTTAAATGTCAAAATTTCATGTTCATTTGGCTTTCTGAATAAAAGAATTGGAAAAGATGTTGCAATTTCATTAATTACTAATAAATTTATTACTGCCTTAGCAAACAATAACCAGTATGAGAAAAATTTAACAAACGCACTTGTATTGCTTTAAAAAAGAGAAAATGAAATTATTTTTTAAAGAACACTGTGCCGGATAAATCTGCCACTTCTAAAGTGGCAAATGAGCTCCCGCCAAACTGTTATTTCATATAAGATATTTCATTTGTACTGTGTACAAGGTTATTTTTACCCGTGTTAAATTATTTTCGCCCTACCACACTGCAAACGATTTCCCTCTTTTTAAATTCGACAAGGAACACAGTTGTGTTTAAAGATGTGTAACTTTGTATGTTGAATTCAGCCACTGAAAACATGTGCGAAAAAGAGACGGACTAAAACGTGCTGTATGCAGTATTCAAAACACCTTCAAAAGAAGTAAAATTAGTGATGGTTACATGTACAACTTTAATCCATTCAGAATTATAGTATAATATAAATGAGCCTAATCCTTCGACAGCAAATAAATTAGTACCAAAAACTAAAAAATGATTAATATTTTTACCACAAATTTAATGTAAATTATAAAAAAAGTAAGATCGAGGAAAGAAAGTTCGCCGGGTATATTGTTGTTGCCCTGGTTCGTCCGTCCGTCCGTCTGTCACACTTTCTGCTTCCTCAAACTCCTCTTTTACTTTAAACAGCAGCCAAGTGATCTTTTAGAATATGATAGATGGTGTTCTGTAGATGTGCAATAAGGTTTTATGATTTTACCATGGAGGCCAAATGGGGGTCAAAAAATGATGTTTTTTTCTACAAAAACCTGGTTCCATGAACTCTTCTTACATTTTGCCCAGTAGCCGAATCGTCTTTTTGGAAGATGATAGGTGGTGTATATATATATATATATATATATATATATATATATATATATATATATATATATATATATATATATATATATATATATATCTGTCATGAACGGCACTGTTTGCAGTATTACGTCATTTTTGAGTTGGCTCGCGGAGCGAGCGAATACTTGCTATCATAGCTGTAAAAATTATCACTCATTCATCAATTTGATTCATACGCCAAATATAATAGTTCTAACAAACAATGCTTTTGTTTGAATGATTGCATAAACTTAAGATGTATAATAAAATGTCATATTGTAACATTATTTATGACTTTATCTTTCGAAAGAAAAATTCAATTAAATATCCGTGCAATGTACAATATTATTGCGTATGAATATATGTGCAAGCATGTTTGGCGGATGTAATCTTCCCATCTGAATTTTATTTATAATTGAACTAGATTAATCCTTAACACACACACCCCTGCTCTCATTTACTGCAGCTAATGTGCTTGAAAAATCTATTTTCAGAATCCAGGTTTGCAGTGTGAACCATTGATCTAATTACTCCATAACACAGACCACTGCAGCTAGTGTGCTTGAATTTATTTTAGAATCCAGGTTTGCAGTGCTCCTTTTCACAATGATATGGGATAAATAGGCCAACAATGTAAAATTTTCTAACATAATCATGATGATGTTATTTACAGGTACTTGGGTTTTGGTGTATAAATATGTGTGTACCTTATTGATATATAAAAACAAAGATCAATAACTTTTTGTGTGTTTTTTTCCAAATATTAGATTATAAGTTACTTACCATAAACATCATAATGCTTAAATTAAAGTAAAATTGTGTGAATACATGGATATAGTTACCGGGGTAGGCGGATCTTAAAAAAAAAAAACATAAATGTCTAATGTTTGTTTTCCATTACTGGAGGTTGTTAGTGATTGTAGCTTACATGTACTAGTATGTTTATATGTTAAATTTTTTTTTCACCGTTACTTTTCTCCTTTTTTAAACACGAACCCCCCCCCCCCTTTCACTTTATTGTAGAATTTTGTTTCTTAATGGAACACTGGGATCTAATCAGATTGATTATAATTATAATTAAAAAATACTAAAGTGATCATGATCTTTTTAAGAATTCAGTTGAATCAAAAGGTGGGAGATAAACCCTTAACCTTTATTTACTTTTGGGGGTGTGGGGTAAATTGAGACCCTTTCAACTTTAAGCAGATGTATTCGGATCCCTTTTCAAAATGTTTAATCTTTTGTCACTTTATGTTATCTTATTTGTGTATTTACCAACCCAGAATTTAAATAAATTTAAAAAAAAAACTCATGTGAGCTTGCATTGAAGCCCTCAATTTTTAACCGAACATGGAAACCTGATATTCAATCTCTTTTGATGCAATATAAACTGAATATAAGGTATGGTGTCCAGTTGTATGAAAAAGCTCAATTTACTCGAGCGAGTCGACTCTCAGACCCTTCAGGCCTTTGATTTCGAAAAGGACTGGATCAAAAATAACAAACTTTATGAAATATTCTCTTGACATTGCACCGGTATATGGTGACGTCTCTATATGAGTGAAATATTCTCGAACGGGACGTAAACAATATACAACCAATCAATCTCTTGACATTTATAATATAGTCCAAATAGTAGGGATGGGTATCGGAAAAAACTTTCGTATCGTGATATATCACGATTTTCCCCAAAAAATATCACGATAAATCGTGATATTTGTACACATAACTTTTACTACAATTTCAAATGAATTTCCATAATACTTCTTAAAAATTTGCTATGAAAACATAACTTTACTTTATAAATTTTCATTTATTTAATATAAAGCATGTTTTGATGCCGTTGTTTAACTGTTTTCAACATTTTTTACACTTCCTGTAATTGTCATTCAATAGTTTGAACAAATAAATTAATAAGTTCCTGAATTTATAGTTATGTACCAAATACCGGTATTTTAGTCTCCGTATCACGATACGTATCACGCAATGAAAAATTGCGATATACGGGTATACCGATAAAATCGCGCATCCCTACCAAATGGTTTACCTTTCATGTAAATAACTAGTATATGAAAACCATCTGGATAAAGTAGAAATGTGCAGATTATGATTTAATTATTTATGTTTCAATTTTATTTTCATATTTAATTTTATCTTTATTGCAATATCTCAACTTTAAGCATATAATGAGCATATACTTACATTGTAAGAGTCGAGAAGTTTTATTCAACATGCTAAGCAATATGCTAAGTAAAACGTCAATCTGCTTAGCAGGGAAATACGTAAGTACATGTATATGCTTAAGGACTTGAGAATACTAGTATTTATACATACAATCCTAGAACTCTAACCTTGGCAATAAACTTTGAATGGTTGGAGCTAGTGCTTTATATTACACGTGTATTCCATGTGACAAGACCTTCCCTTGGGTACCAACTATTTTGACCCTTTGACCTTGACCTTAAAGTTTGACTACTTTTGAAAACCTTATCCTTGGCCATAACTTTTGAATATTTAATAAGAGGGATTTCATATTTTATAAGTGTATTCCTTGTGACAAGACCTTCCCTTGGGTATCAACTATTTTGATCTTGACCTTGGAGTTTGACCCACTTTTCAAAAACTTTAGTCTTGACCATATCTTTTGAACAATTCGTGCTAGGGGCCCTAACCTAGGGCTTTCATATTTCACATATGTAATCATCGTGACAAGACCTTTCCATGGGTTTAAATATTTTTGACCCCGACCTTAGAGTTTGACCCACTTTTGAAAAACTTTAACCTTGGTCATAATTTTTAAACAGTTAGCACTAGGGATTTCAAATTTCACAGGTATATTCCTTGTAACAAAACCTCCTTTTCCTTTACAAACAATTTTGACCTTTTGACCTTGAAGTTTGACCTACATTTGAAAAACTTTTACTTACCAATATCTTTTGAACATTTGGTGCTAGGGCTTTTATATTTTGCATGTGTATTCCTTATGACAAGGTCTACTAACCATTAATTTTGACCCTTTGACCTTGACCTTGGAGTTTGAGCCACATTCAGAAAACATTAACCTTGACCATAACTTTTGAATGCTTGGTGATTTACCAGGTATAGACGTTGACGCAAGTCCTTTCTTTGGGTAACAACATTTTTGATCTCTTGACCTTGGAGTTTGACTTGCATTTGAGAAACTTTGACCTTCGCCATAAGCTGCCATACGGGGGCATCAGTGTTTCACAAACACATCTTGTTATGATTTATCTTTTTTTTGTCATCCATATCGGTTTACACTCCCGATATATGGTAAGATATTTGACCACATAAGAGTCAGATTATTAGACTGATCAGTACACATGCTTTAATTCTTTACAAATATTGGACTCTTCTAAGCCTTACACGTAGCATTCAAGAAGAGAATTCTTAAAAATAATCAGCCCCCCCTTTTTTTCTGAATACATGTGTAGTATTTTACTATTGTAAATTTTCCTTAAGATCCCCCCCCCCCCCCCACTTTTTGATGTTGTAAGGTCAAGCACTGGCAAATTACAGATTTGGACAGTAAATTACTATATTTTTTGGCTTGTCACAGCCCCCCCCCCCCCCACTTTCGAAACCGTTGCTAAAGGGTAGATATTGCCCCCCCCCCCCCCCCCCCCAAAAAAAAAGAACTACGAACGCTAGCTCTCGATTCCCGCCTACATTTTAAACCCATTTAATTCAATATTAATGGCAATTTGGCCATTTTAACTTATTTGAATGCAAAGACGAGTTCATTAGTAACTGATTAATAATTTCAAAAAACTGTGTCAAAAGGTTGACTGCTCTTATTTACAAGTTATTTCATAAGGGGGGGGGGGTAGATAAATTTATCCATTGAAATCAGGCATTTTAACATCACCAGATTTTCAAATACTCATGAAAATAGATAATAAATGGTCCTTAAATCTTTCGTATGTTTAACTTATATATGATTGATAAAGTACATAACCGTATTTGTAATGATCGCATTTGAAATTGGTAATTTAAAAAAATTACCACTTTTGCTTCTTTTTTTTCGTCTGCCCCCTCCCTCCCCCCGTGAAATAACAAAAGTTTGGGTGTGAATTTGTGAAATAACAATTTATAATACCCCATACCTGTAAAAAGATTTATTTTTGTTTCTCGGGGGGGGGGGGGGGGTTAAAAATAATTTCCGTTTTCCGTTGATTTCTATAGTGAAAAACACAAGTTTTACCAAAATTATAGAGTTATCTCTCCCTCTCTTTTTTTTTTTTACCAAAGAAGTTTTGTTTTATGAAAATTTACATAAATATCTACATAAATATGAAAAATCTTTCAAATATGATAACTTTTGAAAAATGACTTGAAGGTAGGCGGCAGAACGATACTTTTTGGTTTAGGGACTTTAAATCTTGAACGCCTCGAGTATGCAATCTTTATTACTGTTTAATTGTAAATATCCTTCAAATTCTGCGAGTTATAGATATTTCGTAATGAAATCTCAACCCCCTTTAACTGAATGATTCTATTTGGATTAGAAAATCATATATATATATATATATATATATATATATATATATATATATATATATATATATATATATATATATATATATATATATATATATATATATATATATATATATATATATATATATATACACAAAAATCATTGTCAAAATATATTAAGAAAATTTTCAAAACTGTCTGTCCTTAATCCTGAATCCTCCATATATATAACTGATTATATGTTTACTTCATTCATTTCTTTTTTTCTTTATATACTTGTCTATTTTTTGACCCTTGACTGTAATTTTTGTTTGTATATATGTATATATATACCTCTTGTACCAGTGATCTGGTTTTGAGGGAATAAAGAATTGAAAAATTGATAAAGTTAAAAAAAAAAACCACTCTCTAATCCCATCGGGATCGTCATACATAATATTTAATTACAGTATTGTCGAAATCCAAGGTAAACAATTTTTTAAAGTGGCGTGTTTAAAGTCAAATAAATCTTTGACTTATCGGACAAAGAATCAATATGTGGTAATAGAAAAGTTTAACAATGTGTCACGTTCCTGTCTGAACTGTCGATTTATTGAGTCAACAAGGGGTATTTTCTTATGTTTGCACACTAGACAAATGGTAGCAGTGGCTCCTGGTTTTTATTCCTTATGTACATTTGTATAATGCGCCTAATGATTGATTTGAAATACAGCTCCTGGACAACACAAGAATGCAGGATTGCAAAAAAATCAAGCACTGAAAAAATATTTGAAAGTAAGTCGTATTAAATTTTATTAATTTGGAATTAACATCAAATTTGATAGTTGTTCATTGCTCTTGTTTTATTAAGTCAAAATAACGATGTTATTATTTCTCATTGAATTATTGATTTCTCTTTTAATTTCTGAACAGAAAAAAAATTTCATCAGACTCATTAAAGTGCCAGATATGCCAAAAAATGTTCAGTGCTAAATTAATACAATTTTTACAAAATGCAGTAGTCACTGAGTGTGATTCAGCTGTTACATGCACTGTAACTGTTGTAGGAATCAACAACAATGACCAATCCTCATCAGTCCTGGCATCCCACAGATTCTGTCATTTCTGAGGTGGATCGTAAACATTTAGCAATTGTTGGGGAATATCTGGAAACCCCTCCTCACCTGATCAAACACCAGCGACTTGAAAGGTATCAATCTGGCACAAAACTATGTATCTACATGCATATGTATGATACCTGTAATATTTAAATAATTCTTTTCTTTGTAAATTCCTGTGATCATGATCTTTAGTTGAACTTAAGTTATGTTATACCATGTTAGACTTGTCATTTTGTTGAAGAGTATGAACAGGCCAGACTGCTCAAAGTAAATTGTAACTACATGTAAACTAGTAAAATGTAACTAAACTAGTATTTTTCAGAATTTAATTTACTTAAATGTTGAAAAACACTCAAATTGCATCAGAAATTTTGTTTTTAAATCCCATTTAGTACTTATTTTAGAGGCAAACCAACCTTTGGCCTTATTTATTTAAATTTCATCTTATTTATGATTTCCTGATTAGAGCTGAGTGCTAGTACACTGTATATAATATTATATTCTTTTTAAAATTTAATCAAAAATTAAAATTCTTCTTTCAATATTTTGAAATTAAGAAAAAAAGTCTGCATTTTGGTGAATGTTTCAGGATAACCTCCAAGGTCGAGAAATGTTGTTTGAGATATAAAGGCCAAGGCGTTAGCTGAGGCTTTTATATTTCATGACAACAAGGTCTTTATTTCTATTCTACTAACAGCTCAAAAATACAACTGATCGTTTCCTGTATAGAGAAACAAATTAGGTCACCATGTCGCAATTATGCTGTTCCATTTAACACCAGAGGGTCAATTTGTTTGTTTACTTGTGTATCAACAGCAGTTTTTTTCTACCCATTGGGAATCGATCCGGTATCGGTTCAATTGGGAAAATGAAGTAGGGCAACGGAGAATTTCTGTCATTTAAACAAATGAAACGTATTTTGCATTTATTCCAACCTCATTACCTATTACTCCATGTTCTAAAGAATAAACAACAAGTATTTATTGTTTTTCATATCAATGACCCTTGTTTTTGCATTTTCATGCTTTCAATTTGTCAAAATGTTCGACACTATGCTGTCTACACCACAGGTCCCGCCATATTAAGACTAATCTCTACTTTCTATTTGAGTGGAAGTGAAACAATTAGTCAACTTGTACAATGTTTCATATAAAAAGAAATAGGATGTCATTGTAGTTTGTTGCTTGGCAGTTGATTTGGGAATTTTTAGTCTCAAAATTGAGAAAAATTGACGTTTTTGGGCATTGAGAATGGTACCATTTATTGGTACCAGTTATATAAAGAAAAAAAAACGCTGATCAGTTGCATAGAATGCAGAGGATTTGAGCTTTTGTTGGGTTAAAAATATCATTTAATTATTTATGAATTGTTTGTAACATAAATTGATTATTTTCTGATCAATGTAAAAAAACAAAACTAGTTGTCTATTTCATTGCTAGATCAGTAAAATCACGGAATGTACACATGAAAATGTATACACTTTTTAGACTGCGGAAGACAACACATTGATTATGGTCTAAATAAGTATTAGATTCTTTAGTGAAATATTCATTTCAACTCTACAGGTTTGATATGTGTTTCTGATCTGATAATTTTTTGATGACGTTCTTGATTAATATATTGGAGAATAATGTCCGCTGCATTTCTTTGATCTCGGCAATAACTGTGGTAGAATGTGACTTATTGTCATGTATCTGAGAACCACTGACCCATTTAACAAAAACTTATCAATGTGAAAAAGTAACAAAAAACCATATATGAATCTAAATGTAATTTTAACGTGAATTAAAAAAAAAAAAGAAAAAATTAAATTAGACAAGTATTTGTTGGCAAAAGTCCTTTTGAAAATTGGCCTCAGATATATTTTATCAATCACTGTCAAGTTTGTTGGGTATGCCAGGGCATGAACTATAGTTGGAAACTTGAGATAATTTGCATAACAGGCAAAGCACGTTATGCATAAATTATTCCACGTTTCCAGCAGTCATTCATGTCCCAACAAACAAGACAGTGATTCCTTATATTTACATTTATATGTGAAATAAAAGTGTAAATATAGATAAAAAAAATGCTGTGTAAGAGTTAAAGTACACAAGGCATTCCATTTTAATTTCCATAGTCCCCGCCCACTGACGTCAGACACAAAGACAGCCACGAGAGATTGACATGCATATTAGGCACTTGACCTTTCACTTGGTGAAATTTACACTCAATTGTAATTGTGTAGAAAACAATTTGAAATTTGAATATCAAATAATAAATATACATGTATGAAAAAGTACTTGTCTCATACAAACAAATTTCCACTATGATTATGTTTTTAAACTGTAAAATTAATTACTTGCCTCATTCTGATTCAAACACAAATATCCTTAAAATAAGGATTTTATACAACTTTTATTCACAAATTGTCAGTTTGAAATCCATTGGCAACATTTTTCTTCAATGTGTGAGGAAGGATTTTTCTTAAATACAAAGTAAGTAATGGTTCTCTGAAAGAAATATTCACAAGTAAAAGAAGGTTGCAGAATCCCCCAACATTTTTTTTTTTTTTACAAATAAATGTTTCTTTATACATGTGCATATAGCACATGTGCACTGTGCAGTTGTAAAAATATAATTCCTTTTTATTTAATTACAGGGATCCTGATTATGATCCAATAAACAGCATCTACTCCAGACTTCCCAGTAAATCCCCCTCCCCTTCTCCCAGACGTCAGAGGGTGGTCCATATCACATGCGAGTGTCACAAAGTAGGTCAGACATCTGGTTCAGGTAAACAACATCAGAAAAAGGACCAGGGCAGCTCTGAAGAGGATACAGATGAAGAAGAGGAGGGTGAGAATTTATATGAGAATTTGTGTGTACATTGATGAAGAGGGTGAGAATTTATGTGAGAATATATGTAGATTAATGAGGAGGGTGAGAATTTGTGTGTACATTGATGAAGAGTGTGAGAATTTATGTGTACATTGATGGGGAGGATGAGAATTTATGTGTACATTGATGAAGAAGGTGAGAATTTGTGTGTACATTGATGAGGGTGAGAATTTGTGTACATTGATGAGGAGGCTGAGAATTTGTGAACATTGATGAGGAGGCTGAGAATTTGTGTACATTGATGAGGAGGGTGAGAATTTGTGTACATTGATGAGGAGGGTGAGAATTTGTGTACATTGATGAGGAGGCTGAGAATTTGTGAACATTGATGAGGAGGGTGAGAATTTGTGTACATTGATGAGGAGGGTGAGAATTTGTGTACATTGATGAGGAGACTGAGAATTTGTGTGCATTGATGAGGAGGCTGAGAATTTGTGAACATTGATAAGGAGGGTGAAAATTTGTGTGTACATTGATGAGGAAGGTGAGAATGTATGTGTGCATTGATGAATTCGAAGAAAGTGAGAATTTGTGTGTGAGGAGGGTGAGAATTTGTGTACATTGATGAAGACGGTGAGAATTTGTGTAAATTGATGAAGACGATGAGGATTTGTGAGTACATTAATTAGAAGGGTGAGATTTTGTGTACATTGATGAGGAGGGTAAGAATTTTTGTACTTGGGTGAGGAGGGTTAGAATTAGTGTACATTTTATAATTTTATTAGGATGGTGAAGAATTTGTAGGAGACCGATACATTTGTAATTTTTTTACATTAATGAGGAGAGTGAGAATTTGTATGCATTGATGAGGATGGTGAAGGCTTTGTGAAACATGGATGAAGAGGGTAAAAATATGTGTAAATTAATGAGGAGGCCGGGTGAAGAATTTGATATGGAGGGTTACATGTAGAAAATGTGAACATTAATGAGGAGGGTGTGATTTTGTGTACAATTTGTAGATAATGTGTATTATAATGATGGAGGAATGTTTTCTATCATATAACATTTACATACTGAAAAAAAAATGGGGGAGGGGGGATTTGGTCTGGTTTAATAAAAGACATGCATGTTTATGATGACATAATTTCTTGAGTTAATGTCTCTTTATGAAATATAATTCCTGTATGAATTTTCAAGGTTTGAAATTTGTGGAGAAATCCACTAATACTGAACCCCTATGAAATATGATGATTCCACAGTAATACATGTACATGTATAAGCAATTTTAGATAAAGAATAATGTTTCAGTCCTACTCATAATTTAATGTATATTAAGAGAGTTGGTATAAGGAAAATAACTTCACATATTGAATAACAAATGCACTTTTTAACTTGGCTGAATGCTGTACAGATGTGGACTTGGGAGTGCTCTTGAAATTGCTTGATGGATTAAGCAAAAGGCCAGATGGTAGGATTTCAAGTCAGGCTTTCAACGGGGTTCTAGAGGGGTTTTCCTGCGAGGAATCTGTCTCACATGACAAGCTCGAGAAGGTACCTTTACACACTTTCATCTTTTATTTTCTAAGTGGCTTGATAAAAAACACACAACTAGCAGAGCTGATTAAGATAGGGATGATAATGAAGTTTTATAACAGGTTTTTTTATCCAATCGTGTTATAGGTTTGTGAGTATTTAGAATCTGGCAACCTAAGAATAAAACAGATGACTTGGTCTCTGATCAGTAAGCTGTGTGGGAACCTTTCCAATGTGACATTTCTACTGAAGAGGAATTTTCTAAAAAATATTATCCAGGCTGTCAGTTCCTCCAGTGAGAGTCTGGGACCATGTGTAGACACAATCATTAGTGTAAGTCTGATTGTAATAAATTTATGATTAATTTTATTATTCATTGTTGTCCTACCTGAAATTCTTTGCTGTAGTCTTGAAAGTTCAAGTGAAATACTTTCAACTACTTCAAAGAGAAGCTAATTTGATGAGGAAATCAGGTCAATTTTAAATAACTGAAAAGATCCTCCCATACATGTAACTGCAGGTGGTTAGTCATGAGAGCCTTAGGGAGGACTGGTATGAGTGGGTCCTGAGTGACATTGTGCCCCTCCTTCTGACCGCCCTGTCTATGGAGGATGTCACCCTGGACCACAAGTATAGGATTGGCTGTTTCTTTCACTGTCTTGGGAAGGACCAGGATTTCCTAGGCATCATCGAAAACAGAGTTCTACCAATCATATCTGGACTGAGAAATTCCAGTGCTAAGTTAAAGGTACTGTAAATGTGTGCATAAATTATCTCACTCAAAATTTAGTGCCATCTTCCTCATTAAAAGATTAGTGTAATCATAGATTAGCAAATTAATAGAAAAGCTTCTATGTGTATTTTGTTTAAATAATATATCACCATGTACATTATATGTACTTGAATTAGCAGACAAGAAGCAGAGTGAAATATACTAATATATATGATTAATCAAAATAAATTAAAATAAAATTCATAGTATTCAAAGTAAGATTCTTTTGTTTGATTTAAAGTCCTACCTCATTAGATATACAGGTGAATTAAAATTATGCAGTATATTGTTTAAACATTTAATGTATAATAAGTGTCATTTTGATACCTGGTGCATATATTTTACACTGTGAGTTAATTTATTCTTGTGACAGGAGATTTACACCAAAATTCTTGGAGAGGTTGTGAAGAATGAGGACTCTGGGATGTCCAGCAGTGTAGACCAGGGAGTGACCGGTGTAGCGGTCAGCATGCTCAAAGAGGGACCATGGTACTTTATAACAAGACCTCTAGCAATTCTCTACTTTTCTTACCTGTAACCACTTATATTTTATTTGACTGGCATATCAGTATAAATAAATGAAAGAGCCATTTAAAAAGAAAAATTGAAGAATTGAATTTAGATTTTTAAAAAAGTTGTGTATTAATATACATGTATATGCAAATCATTGAATAAGATAGTATGCTCATACACTATACATGTTTACTTGAAGAATGTTGAAATTGACTACAGAAAAATTCATTAAATCTTTAGATCTTTCTAGTATTATTCTAGTATTATTTATACTGGTTTTGAATGAGTTCCACTGAAGGATTCTCTCCCACAGTGACCAGCAGATTGAGGCCCTGTCTTTACTCTGTATTCTGTCTGAGACAGAAAGGGGGAGGGCCACTGTGATTAATGACGAGGATATCCTCCCCACCACCCTCACCTGTGTCCAGCAGTCCAAATGCAGGTAAAACACCCCATAATGGACACTGACCAATATAGAAAACAATAATACTATTATGATTCCCCGAAATTATTAAATTTTATTTTGAAATTAGCAGGATATAAATGTTAAAGATAAAGTGTGTTTTTTTCAGGAGGAATAATTCAATACACTGCAAATGTCTCTCTGCATGAATGTGTTTTCCTAGCACAAATTAATACTGTAATTAACTAATAAGGATATTTTGTCTTGTAACCAGGCTTATTGTATTATATCTTACAGAACTGAATCAATCTGGGTATGCAGAAATATTACCAATAAAGCTTTCAGATTTGACAACACATTTGAAATAAAATGCTTAAATAATATAAGAATAGCAAAAAATGTTTTTGCTATTTATTGCACAATTTATTTATTTTTTCTTGAACTTGGCATAATGTATAATTACACAAGGCATAGAAGTTCACATACATATCAAAAAAGTATCTTATGATATACCTGTAATTTCAATTTACATTAAAACATAAAATGTTTCAATTTTGAATAACAAAGTAATCACTGTATTAGATAACCAATTTAGAATTTTCACAGCTTGATGTTAAATGCAAAAACAATACAGTGTTTTATATTTCTGTCCCTGCATGTAAACAATGCATGAATATTTCATTCAAATTAAAAAAAAAAGTTATACACTAGATATATATATCCCCAACCCTTTCCCTCCAGAACCGCTATATTTTTATATGTCCATCCAGATATGCAGACCCTTTTCCCTATTAAATATAACTATATTCAGACTTCTGAATAAACAATGCATGCTCTAATTTAACGAGGTTCGCTCCTGAGCTTTTGAGCAGATTCTTTTCTTAACCTATATTTCAAAAATTCTGCATAATGTTTTAATTCTTACAATAAATTTGGATTCTACAATACCAATTTAACTATATTCAGTTAAAACTCCATGAATAAATTCCATACCAAAAGCATTAAGTTAGGAACTATATTTTGTGGCGGAAGGTTTTTTAGAAGAAAATGATCAATTTTTCTATTTCGAAGTATTTAAAGTATGTTAAGTTTGGATTCCTATTTTTACATGCAGTCTGCACACATAGTTATTTTGTGCAGTGGACTGTTTTATACTGGTCCTAAATTATTTATTAAATAAACTGTCATGAGTTCTATCATCATATTTGATAAATATAGCAAATATATTATGGAAATGAAGAAAAAAATAGCCCTACTTTAAGCATAAAATTAGCACTATTTTAGTAATATCTAAAAATTAACATCACAGACCCCCACTTTTAATTTTCTTTTCTGAATATATACGATACTTTTAACCATTCTTCTTAAATTCAGTAAGATGTCATTACTTTCAAATGATTTTTTTTGCTTGTAAAATCTTAATGTCAGAAAAATGAAAATGTTTGAGCGCAAAAAGGTCAAATAATTGAACATGCGGAGTAATTTGAAAATTTCTTCGTTGTTACAAATTTTAATGTGTCTGTTTAAGATGAAATAAGACAGTGCTTGTTCACCATAATTTATTTGAACAAAAAATATTGAAGGAAAAACTTTAAAAGTTGTTTTATGTGTAAGACGTATTTACAGTGCAAAAAGGTCAAACTAAATGCTCTGTAGCGCCAAAAGAAGCGCATTGACCCCCATCTTTTGTTTTGATTTTTAATAAAGCTATGTGTATAAATTCTAAAAATATACTTGATAAAAAATTCTCATTACTTTTGATGGCAGGATCCAACCTCCTTAAACTAATTAAATATAGTTTTTTACTCTTTAAAATCAATTGCCTGCATGTACTTAATACTTATTAACAAAGTTTTGTGTAATTTTTGCCATTGAAAATAGTAATTTGTAGAATCTATAGTTCAAATTCATTCAACATTAATTTTTCAACATGCACATTCACATTGTTAAGCATTTGCACATGGCAAGTTAAATATATATAATTCTTAGCATTTCCATTGTATTAAATACTAATTGTTTTGTGATATATTATTTAAAAATCTTACAGTCCTTTTCACTAACATGTACATGTATCATATGTATAGTTTGTCTCACACCTTCAAATTGCACTCAATAAAAAAAGCACATAATTAAGAATTCATTTTTTGGTCATATTTTTGACTTGTTTGAGTTACTTCCCCTCAAAACAGAATAGTAAGACAGAGGGCGTTAGTGTTGATGAATCATGTGACCAGCACCAGGAGACTGGGACTGTGTAAGGAAGTAATGAGCCACATATCTTACAGTCTTCTCCCCTCCCAACATACTGACAGACACACAGACAAACCACCAATCAGGGGGAGACAGGAGAGGGAGGGGAGGTTATGGAGGGGGATGGAGGGTTATGTTGAGATGTTGACAAAGATCTTCTGCAAAGAAGGTATAGTTTATGTTGACAAATAAAGATTTTCTGTATAGAGGGTAATTTATGTTGACCAAGAGGTCTAAAAGACAGAGAAGCCTTATAAAGATTTTAATGAAAATACATTATAGTGAGTTTATAAGATACAGATTTAATTGAAAAGATACACATAATACACAGAAAATCATTGTGAAATAATTGTGACAGTAAAATTAGATTTTTATATAAAGGCTAGTATTCTTAGTCTGGATTTCAAATTGATTACATCATTAACATTTGTTACAGCTAAGATAGAGAAGAACAATTTACAGAAGGTTGTGAAATGTGGATACTGGGCAGGATGTGATGTCCAGCTATTGGTCAACTGTTCCTCAGCCATTTTAAATGTCTGTCTGTGGCCAGCTCACAGAAACAAGCAGGATCTGAATTCACTGGACTTGACCAGCTTCACAGACTGTGAGGACCAAAGGTTAATGTTAAGAATATTTTACTTATCATTAAAATGGCATTCAAAAGCACTAGGAACTCAATGACTGGATGAGTTCTCATTCACTCCCATTTAATATTTGACATGGTTTTCTAACTTGTATTCTGTTAAGAAATTTTGAACTGTAAATTTCCCATGGCTTCAAATATTGAAAGATTCTTAGAGTTTAGAAGGACAAAATCAGTAGGAGATGTTAGTTTGGCATAAACATGGAATTTGATAGTCTATGCCTAATTACATTAATGGATCTATTTCTTTAATCTGGATAGGAAGAAGTATGGTAAAATCAACAGGGCCCTGGTACAGATGGTGTGGGATTCTTTTGGAGAGTGTATGTTTGAATTGCTAACTTTCTTCTCAAGGAAACTCAGAAACATACTAGATTTAGCCCTGCAGGCCAGGGGAGGAAAAAATCTCTGTTCCGAGCATGAAGCAAAGTCTGCTAGTGGATTGAAAGTGTTAGATCGCCTAGGTTTTGCTGATCTGTATGCCGTGTTTGAAGAAAAAGAAGTAGACCTTGTTGTGATTCTTCTAGAACTGGTGCTGGTCATGTCTCTGTGTTCATGTAAAGGTTTCTCTGATCTGTTCCCAACGTCTTCCAAGTCAAAGAAAAAGTCTTCACCTGTAAGCTCAAAATCAGTCTCTTCCACACAAGGTGGATATTATAATAGTCGTCCAGGTTCACCTCTGAAAAGCAGACCGACCAGTGCAGTAGGTTTGTCCTCTTTGTCAGAAGAAGAGCGTTGTCAAGGACTCAAAGACAAGGAGATAAGTGCCGAGCGACGGTTGCTAAGGAAGTGCTTGTTTGAACAAGGTGTATTTGGAGTTGTAGTGCCTTTCATTCAGTGTTCACATCTGCAATGTCAGGTATGCATTAATGTTCAAATTTGTTTACTGGTAAAATGATAACTCTCAATAGTGGCCTTTAATTTCAAAGAAAATCTGTCATTGAAAGTCATTGCAAGTGGTTTTTGAAGAGTTTTTGTAAAGATAAAAAGGCAAATGGTTTATCTTTGAATATGTATCCTACATATAAATAAATTCTTACCTAACAGAGTCATTTTTCAGATTTTCTCCTGTGAGATCCTTAGAGCTAACATACAGTCTATAGAAGAGAGGGAGATAACTCTGAATAGCATGTATGGTCCAGTCAATGCTAGTGCAAATGCCAGACTACGGTAAGAATTATTACCTGATTCAATGATACCAAAAATTATCCTACCATTATATGTGTACATGTATTGATAAAAGAAGCAGCAGGAATCGAAGGATGAAGGATTTTAAGGCTGTTCAGCATTTTTGTTTAAAAAGTTGAATATATTAGTTATGTGCTTTAAGTTTAGAAGAAAAGGTTTCTTCCATCACAATGATTGACAGTAGTCCACATCATCAATTTTGAGGTTGATATATTTTAAAAATAAACACATTCATCGATCAAGATTTTTATAATGGATATAAAAAGAAAAAAAATCATCTTCATAAGAAATAAAAGATATGGAAATTGTCTCCCTTTTGGCACTTTCATTTTACCTATATGTAGCCCTCAGTCAGCAGCAGCAGCCCTCACCAGAGATCTGCGTGTAAAACAAGCTCTCCATACCATGTCACCTCATGTGGCTCACATCATCAAAGATGCCCTGGGGCCAAGATTGGCCCCCTCCACCCCCCATGTTATCCCCAGGGCAGAGGAAGAACCAGATACTGAGGCTATAACTAGACTCAGTCAATGTATGTATAATCTGTATGTTAAAACAATTAAATAAATTTAAAGGAATAAATTTAAATGATAATATAAATTACAGTCTCTGATATGTTCTAATATCCATTTATATTTCCCCGGGCATAAAATGGTGGGGGGCATATAGTGTTACCCTGTTCCATCATTCTGTCATCATTGACTTTCCATACATTATCTCTGCAACAGTTGCACACATGCATTCAACTCAAATTTGACATATGGTTATGTCATAGGAATACGCAGGTCAAGTTTGAATTTGGTCGTGGTCTAATAATTTTTGACAGAGTTATCCCTTTTGAACTCGGAAAAAATAAGAAATTTTTCAGTTTCCACTCTTAAAATTTTGTACAGATGTATATATAAGGTTGAAATTGCATGTGCAGGTATTTTATAAAAAAATACAGGTCAAATTTGAATTTGGTGAGGGTCTGATGATTTTTGACAGAGTTATCCCTCTTGAACTTAGAAAAAATAAGAAATTTTCGGTTTCCGCTCTCTTACTTTTGTAGGGATGAATGTATAAAGTTGGAATTGCATGTGTAGGTATTTTACCAGAGGATACAAGTCAAGTTTGAATTTAGTCGTGGTTTGAGGATTTTTTACAGAGTTATCCTCTTGAACTTAGAAAAAAAATCTTTTGTGAAAACAAAATTAAAACTAATAATGGCATTTGAAATTTTTGCTGCCTGCGGGGACATTCGTGGCGTTACGACACATCTAGTTATTAAAACTATTTAATGAGGGTTCACTAAGCATTTGCTCACCATTATCTCTTCATTCACTCATTTTTTATTCTCAGTTTTCTCATTCATTTTTTTGTTTATGTGGGTAGTAGATTAGAGTGATTCAGGAAGACTGTTCTGTTTAGATATACACAAATTTTAAGTCAGTCTAAATCACAAAGAAGTTAAAAGGCTTGAGATCCAAGTAACTTGAATTATATTCCATCATGATACATTACATTGTATGTACATGTAATCTCCTACTGTATTATTGCAGATGTGATTGAAAACAGGCCTAGTTCCAGGCAAGTTGACCCAATTCCAGAGGTCCCTAAGCCTGTCCTTGACCCAGTTAAACCTGTAGCTGTTCAGTGCAGAGAGCAACTGTTACAGGAGGGTGGATCCCGGATTTTAACACCCATGCTTTCCTCTTCTTTAGAGGTTAAAAAACTCTGTGCACTTCTACTGGGAGATCTAGTGCATTTTGGAAATGTAATTATAAGTTTAAAATTTTTTCATGATTATTGTTTATGCCATTGATTTTTGGGAGAAAATGTGTGCTTATTGTAATGATCATTCATGCTCACACAGACTGCAATTTTCAGGGGATTGAGGTATTTCCTCTCTGAAAAACTTGTTCTGAATCAACAATCTCATTTATTTGGGAAATTTTAAAGAAAGTGGCATTGTAGATAGTCATTTCTCTTTTAACAAAACTTTTTTGGCTTTGTTGTATATAGTATTCACAGATTTGATATTTTTGTGTGTAGGTTGATGTTCACATGACCTTGACACAGCTGGGATATATGCAGAAGTTACTGGACTTCCTCAGAACAAACACCAGTAATGAACTACTGGAAATAATTGGTAAGAAGATTTGCATGTATTTAAGAACATATGGCTTAATCGGATATATTTGTCAAGAAATATTTGACCCGTTCTTTAACATTTGATTGTTTAAACATCTCCCATTTGGTGCAGTGATTAGATTAGTACACTGGGGATATGAATCCCACTGCAGAATGTGAAAACCAGTCTTTCAGGTGAGACTGTATTTATAAACTGAGGTCTTGTGTTGCAGTAGGTGCTGGCATGAAAAAGATCCTTCATTGCTCAATGGCATACATGTAAGTGCCAAATACAGGTTTAAATTTGCTGTTTACCACCTGTATTTGGTGGCACCCAGCTTGAGTGAAAAATTCTCGAACAAATTTATTTAGGAAGCAAATAAACAAACAAATTATTTTTAAGTGGTTCTGTGACAGGTTTCACGATCTGATAATTTTAGCTCACCCGAGACATCAAAATCTGTGCCTTGTCTGACATCTTCATCATTGTAAGCTTTTCACATTTTCTTCTCCTCCAGAACCACCGGACCAATTTCAACCAAACTGGACACATAAATTCCTTGGGTGAAAGGAGTTCCAAAACATTTCTTGAAATGAAGGGCAAGTCCAATCTAATTAAAATTAGATGTTCCGAATCCGCTACTGCTTCTCAAACATCTAACAACATCCCATTAGGGGTCACGTCAGAGCGACCTTTCGATTACCCAGTGAAATCGCTGTCTCTGAAATCTTGGCTTATTGTTCGGATGCATTTCTTTTTTTACTGCCAAACCTTAATGCCCGAGGGGTTTCGTAGTAAACAAAATATGCATGGTAAAGACCGTGCTATATATGAATGTATACGTATAGTTTGTGCATTTTTCAGGTGAGAATGCCAGATTGGCGGACTATATGTTCAATTTATACCAAAATTACTTTAATTCAACGTAAGACAGTCTCCTGAGCATCAATAATATAAAGATGTAGTTGTGGAACTAATTTTAGAATCGTATACAGAAGGTAGAATCTGATTTGCCAAAATTTTTATGTTTATTCATAATCGAAAGGTCGCTCTGATGTGACCCCTGATGGGATGTTGTTAGATGGGATGTTGTTAGATGTTTGAGAAGTGGTAGCGGATTCGGAACATCTAATTTTAATTAGATTGGGGCAAGTCCTTCTTCCAAGGGGGGATATTTAAGAAATAGTAAAAATTTTGGTGGGGTCATTTGAAAATTCTCAAAAACCACTTGGCAAGAAAAGCTTAAACTCATTAAAAAAACTTCTGTTCATTACTTGTTGTAGATTGAAGTTTGTTCAAAGCATGACCCCCCCCCCCCCCCCACCCACCCACCCCCTTAACAGGAATACATGGGGAAATCTCAAGAACCACAAAGCCATGATCAGACATATTTATATGGAAGCATCCTAAAATAGTGTAGATTCAAGTTTGGTCAAATCATGACCCTGAGGGGTCACAATATGTGATATAAGTTTTATAAAAGTTTTATATAGAAATATATTCAATGTAGGAATTTTTAAAAAAAATCTTCTCTGCAAGAACAGTAAAGCCATAATTAGTCTTATTATTTTAAAGCTTTCTCAGGTTGTGAAGATTCAATTTTGTTCAAGTCATGACCCCCAGGGGTATAAGTAGTGTTTTAAATAGGAATATATAAAGCAAAGTATGTACTGATGAAGAATAGCAGGACCATAGTGACCTGGGTGAGTGTTGTTGCTCATGGGCCTCTTGTTTACTGGTGCTGTGACCGGTCTGAAATTTAACTGGTTCTCTGACAGGTCTGATCATTGTCCAGATGTTGGTGAAGAGTGATAAGAGAATAGAACAGGTGTTCAATCATCATGGTGGCACCAGGTTTTTGATGGCAATGGTTAAATTCACCAGCGGTGACCTAAAAAAGCAGGTCGTCAGTACACTTAAGACAGTAACACATGGTAATAGACTAATAGAGTCTCTTTTAATATTACTATTAATATACATTTTATTTTTTTTATACTTGAACATTTTATGGTTTGTAATGTAACAAATGTTCTTAAAAGTACAACAAAGAAATATTTACAATTCTTATGTCTCCTTTTTAATGTAATAATCTCCTATTCAATTATTCTAATGTTATATGCAATTGAGTATTTTATCATGTACTTTCAAGGAACTAAGAAGACTCGACCTAGCTCAGCACCAGTATCTCAAAGCAGGAAAACTCTAGACATCTGGGACAAGGTTAGTATCTTCAAAATTGAAATCTTTGTTCAAAATAAATAACGTTTTGGATATAGAATAAAGGGTTAAAAAAAATAACTTGCAGCAATATAGAATATTCCTATTTTTGGGTCACATGATTGATTTGGTTATATAAAGCTGTATGTCCTGTTTTCGGGTTACCTGAGCAATTTGGTTAAAGATACACTGTAGCTGTAAGTTACAGTCATCTTGCGTTCCGTTGTTCTTAAACTTTTGAACATACCCACTTCCACGTTTTCTGATCCAATTTCAATCAATCTTTGTATGAAATGTCATGGTCCTAAGTTACGAGTTCTGTCAGAACTGAGTTGGTCATGGCCTGAGAAACGTGATACTCATGTGACCATCAATCTCCTTTCAATTTAAATTGCACAAACCATAAAGAGTTCAATTTTGCACTTTCATAAAGGAAAAAAAATATCATGTATATTTGCATTCTAAATGTTTTTTGACATGATTGATGATAAACAACCTTGTCATTGTATTTTCAGATTCAGCAAGAATGGGCACATCAAGATAAAGTTGAAGATATATTACATCAGTGGTACAGATAATTATAGATAGCTCAAATGGCCTACACTGTTAAAAATTGATTGTGAAAATGACATCACATTTTGAACAAATACTATTGCAAATTGTTTCATTGTTAAATTCTAATTTTATTTTATGTGAAATATTAAAAATCTTTACAAAAGCACTAGCCTCATTATTTATTCAAGAAGGTAATGGTTTCCTTTGGTTATTCCTGTCAACAGTTTATTATGAGACTGTCATCACCCTTACAGGTTTACATTTAAGACAAATGGTTTATTTTGATCCATTAAAAAGGTTAGAGGTAAGAACCAGTATTGAGCAACCAAAAAAAAAAAAAATAATAATAAATAGAGCATTGGTATAGTTTTTGATCCATTAAAAAGGTTAGAGGTAAAAACCAGTATTGAGCAACCAAAAAAAATATTTGAAATAAACATAGCATTGGTATAGTTCCTGACCCTTTGAAAGTCTCACTGTAGACTCTGTATACTTCAGTAGTTTCTCCAGATTTATCAAGAACTACCGCACAGGTTTTATAAATTGCTGAACGCCAAAAAAAAGTTCAGAACACATTAGGAGAGGTTATTTTTTTACTGTACATGTACAACCAATATATAAATTTGCCTTATTATATCAGTACTTCTTTATGTTTTGGAGAATACTGCATACCCTTTACCATATCACATGCTGTATCAGGCCGAGACACCAGTATCAACCAGAGGGCTGAAGACTGGAGGGCTAATATTGGTCAAGGGCTGATACAATACGTAATGTAGAAAAGGGTATGTTTTATTGTGTTTATTTCATACTTATTACACACAGTTAGTAGTAGTTACCCCATATAATATTGTTGGTTATGCGCAGATACCCAATGGGTGTGGTCATAATGACACCAGGGAGCAATGAACAACAAAAACAGCAACTCAAAAAATAATATGAACAAATAGAGTGTACAAATGTGTGTGTATATATATATATATATATATATATATATATATATATATATATATATATATATATATATATATATATATATATATATATATATATATATATATATATATATATATTGAATGAACGCCTTTACTGTGTTGATAACTTGAAAATTTGTTCATTTTTTAATCGTTTAAGGTGTATGGATAATGTGGTAAAGATATTTCGCGAGAATTTTTTTTTTTTACTGCAGGCTACTTGAATATACAAAATTAAGAATGTTTTTAATGGTAGATAAACATGGAGAGAGCGTTTACATGTACATTTATATATTAATTATGCTATGAAAGTAAGAAGATCTGGTGTGATTTTTTTAAAAAATAAACTTAATACATGTAGGTACATTCTAAATTGTTACAGATACAGAATTATTGTCCAAATGTTCTAAAAATGACTGAAACACATCTACTCTTCTGACATTTATCAAACTCGCATATCCAGTTAAACAGACCATTGTAGTTGTGTTTCTTAATGGATTTCCTATTGATGAAGAAACAATCACCTGCAGCAAAATAGTAGTACTTGAACGGAGACACTATCTCTTCTAGTAAACTTATATTTTTTATTTCCTCCTCGCTTTTCTGCCATTTGAGTAAGATATCGCCTTGGGTGCCTTTCCCACCAATCCATGCAATGAAAAGTGTGTCTGAAAATGTATATAACATGCTCAAGTACTTGGATTCCGAATGAATATAAAAAGGTCTTATCATGTAAATGTATTTTTTCTTTATAATACCTGTGTCTATGAACTCTTTTTTTGATAAAACGGAATTCTTCCTTCGATTGAATTTCTAGTAAGTATCCGTCCTGGTCTAGGCAATTTTGCTAATTCCGTAGAAGAAAATTAATGAAGTTACAATGTTTATTATATGGTTATTACTATAATGCTACAAAATAATATTCAAATTTAATAAAAGATGTACTATTCAGATAAATGTCAAAGAGGGAACCCAGGGAAAGAACAGTAATCAAAGATATATTCTAAAGGTTTAAGATGAGAGTGGCAATATTGATTGGTTCTTAAAATAAAATAAAGGAGAGTATAAGGAGCCATTTGGCTTGAGAATTATAGAAGCTATGATGAAATTATGGTTCCTGGTTTAGTCTACTTGTATACTTAGTTAGAAGTATAGAAATCAGAACAACATTGTATGATCTGCAGGAGCCTAGGATGAATAGTGTTTGGAAAGAATTACACTCACAATTATATTTTTATTAGGGATGTCAATTTTGTCAATAATTCATATTCGAATATTCAATGAAAGTATTCGAATATATTCGAATATTCGATAAAATAAATAAAATCTGTTTTATAAGAGCTATGACAATAATCTTTGATACAATGTTTTTAAAATATAAACAAATATTTCCATAGACAATTTTCCTAGGTAATTAATTAGTTTCCCGATAATGAATATAAAATTCAGGATTATATACAACCCAAGATATAATCATTTAATCTGAAATTGAGCCCTTTACAAAATTAATTACAGTGGACATTCATTTGAATGATCAATAAAATTTGTTTTGATAAGTATACTCTTCACGTCTTTTAGACATTCTAAGAGGGTTTTCATTTTGTTGTTTTCGATTCTAGACCCGATCGTATTGAAGAAATAAAAACTATGAAAGTACGTTTTGTATTAATACATAAAACATTATTGTACAATTCTTTAACACCTTACTCAAAACAAAATCCATGTAATTTAGTAATTCTATAAGATAAGAAAGAAGTGAAAGAAATCAGGCGATCGAAATTGATCGCTAGTAAATTAAAGAGGGATAATTCCAGCACTGCTCTAATCAAAATTTAATAATCACAGTACTTCGTTTTATGAAATCTGAAAAACACCGAATATTCGAATCTTAAATTCATATTCGAATATCAACTCATCGAATGAATATTCGAATGCCATCCCTAATTTTTATCCAATTCAACTTTTTTGCAAAATTGAAAAGCTTATGTATTTGTTAAATTGAAATATATAGAGATAACGAACAGTATCCAAGCTCAAAAGTCCGTTAAACTTTACAAAATAGGTGCAGAGCAAACACAGACCTCCAAAACATCAGAGAGGTGGGATCAGGTGCCGTGGAGGAGTGAGCATCCCCTGCCGACCGGTCACACCCGCCGTGTGCTCCTTGTCGTGATCGGGAAATAACGGAAAATCCGTCGAAAATTCAGTGTGTTAATAATGGCCTAACAATTAGTATGAAAAACGTCAGTCAGCATTTGACCTAAAACAAAACGATAAATATTATTATAGTTTTCAAATCATCAAGTATTGTCTAACCTGTAATGACATCGTGAAGATAACAAATGATCGATCTAAAAAAAAATGTCTTACTCATAATACTCTCCTGTAAATCATATATTGTTTCAAATTTGGAGACGAATTTACAATTATTTACATCTTTCACCAGCTTGTGTATAAATATATTATCTGAGCGTCAGGCCATGATAACCACTTATCGCTCTCCACTGTAATTTCTTTCCCATAACGATAGTAGCACCTCTCTATGGGTTCTGTGTATAAATTGCATATCTTGTATAATAATTATATGTACAAATTATTGTTAACATTTTGTGCAAAATAAAATAATATGTATTACAAATCAATCAATCTTTGTATAATAATACATGTATGTATTACAATTGCACTGAGAAGTATGGAAAGTTTTTTTTTAAACACTATAGAAATGAGCAATTTGAAGATTCATATACCGGTGGATTCTTACTTTGTGGAGGTGAATGGATTATTCCATCAACGCAATTGATTTGTTCGTCTTCGGCTGAAAAGCAACAAAAATAAAATGTATATCATAAAACTCTTTAATTATATGTACATATACTCATGTATTTCAGAAGTTTTAAATGGATTGATTGTACACTACGTCCTAGTTAAACAGTATTAAATTATATGTTTTGAAATATTAAGAATACATGGGATGGGGGCAATGGTACAGTTTTTTTTTCTTTTTTATAAACAAATAAAAACGTTTGCTACATTTCCAAATGTGATTATGCTTATTACTTTTATTTGAATATTTAAATATTGCGTTGCCTGATTTCTTTGAATTATAAATGTTTAATCACGCACTTACATTTTGTATTGTTTTTTCAAGGGCTTGACAATCAAACCTAAATGGAACACAGGATGAAATTACACCATTCAGTCGACGGAATGGTAACTGAATGACCACTGAATGGCCACTGAAAGGTCACTGAAAAGTTCCTTACCCGTGACTTTTCTGTGGTCTTTCAGTTACCATTCAGTCGATTGAATGGCAGATACATTTCAGTGGCCTTTCAGTTATCTTTCAGTTGTATCTTTTTATTAAATAATCCGCTTATTTTTTAACTTAGAAATTTTATTTCACGTTTTCTTATTATATTGGTATTAAATAAATCTATTTTCGAATAAAAAAATAAATATTGTATACATATTGTATATTCTATGTTAATTGCGCGGATTTTTGGGGCTGACTAATTAATTATACATCTCTTATCGGGATGATGACAATTATCGGCGACGGGCACCTTTTTTTCTCCAAAGAAATGATTCAAGATGGATCTTCACCTCAGAAAACGTTGTAAATTCTTAAAACGGTATCTCTTATCTTGCTAAATTTTAACAATCAAGAAAAAAATTACAATATTAAGGTTCTTCCACAAGAGGCATAAATAATTAATTCTGTTTATGTAAAATAAAACGATATCCTTTAGAATCTAAAATATTATGCGATTTTAACAATTAAGAAACAAAATTTACAATATTAAAAAAGGCATAAATAATTAATTCTGTCTTGTCTTTCATAACCTTATATTTCCATGAAAACTAACCGCATTGAGATGGACATAAAATTAATGAAAAATTATTTTAGAGCTGAAAAAATAAGAGAACTTTTTTCTTGTTTATTTTAAGAGCATTTTGATCGATATCCTCGATTTATTTTTCAGATTGACTGTCTGCTTATTCATTTAACTTCTTATCAAATTGAAGAAGCTTGTGAAAATATTCGTAACAGATTGAGAGATTTTACAGAAAGAAAAAATAAGACAAATCTATTCCCGTTAATTAAATTC